GCCTTAATTTCCTTAGTGCTTCTAACATATCTGAGTATATGTGTGTGTGTATAGTTGACAGAAGCACAGTTAAAATTTGGAAAAAACTCCAGGTGGCAATTTACTCTTTAGTTTGTTTTTGGGGGGTCACACCCAGCAATGCACAGGGGTTACTCCTGGCTCTGCACTCAAGAATTACTCCTGGCAGTGCTCAGGAGACCATATGGGATGTTGGGAATCGAACCTGGGTTGGCCGCGTACAAGGCAAATGCCCTACCCACTGTGCTATTGCTCCAGCCCCTACCCTTAGTTTTAACTTTTTTTTTTTTTTGGTCATACCTAGCAATGCTCAGAGGTTATTTCTGGCTCTGCATTCAGGAATTACTCCTGGCCGTGTTCGGGTGACCATATGGAAGGCTGGGGTCGGCCGCATGCAAGGCAAATGCCCTACCCGCTGTGCTATTGCTCCAGCCCCTACTCTTAACTCTATTTCTGCCTTTGCCTGTAATAGGTAAAGGTAAAGGTAAAGGTAAAGGCCCTCCCGTTGATCGTCGATTTGCTCGAGCGGGCCCAGTAACGTCTCCATTGGAGACTTTTGTTGTTACTGTGTCTGGCATATCCAATACTCTCAGTAGCTTGCCGGGCTCTCGAGAGGGGCGGAGGAATCGAACTCGGGTCGGCCATGTTGCCTGTAATATGAGTGTGAAAAAAAGAGCTTATAAATTTACAGAGAGAAAACTGAGGTTCCACGAGGAAATATTAGTAAAACAATTAACATCTTAAAAGAGATGATGTTTGAATGCTTTTGTAGTCTCTACCTATCACTCTCTTTGAGAATTTGAGAGTTAGTACAGGGGTTAAGGCGCTGACTGTGCATGGAGCCAACCCGGGTTTGATCCCCAGCACCTATATGGTCCCCTAGGCACCCCGGGACCGATCCTTGAGCAGAGAACCAGGAGTAAGCCCTGAGCACCGTGGGCTGTGTGGCCCAAACCCAAAAAGTTCTCTTTCAAGTTAAAATCAGAAATAAACATAATCGAATATGGAAATGCTTAGGCAGAATCATCTCAAGGGCATCTGTGTAACTTGTTCTGTTCCATAGTGGGTGTGGGAATAGACTCTCAGGAGACACACATTTCAGTCTTTCCCCAAATATCTCTTCTTTGACTTTAATTAGAAAATGAACAAATGGTTTGGGAAATTCTAATTTTATTGTTTAAAACAGAAGATTCAAGCCATTCAAATATCTCTACTTCAAATGCTCCACTTCAAAAAAAAAAGAATTTTTTTTGAAAATTAAGGTTTGATAAAATGATAAAATGTAAAGTGAGTCAAATGATATCTAATACTTAAATTTAGTACCCACAAACTTAAATTTACAGAGAAAATACTTCATCTGAAATTTATGTAAATAACTCCCAGTTTTAAAAATATTTAGCTGATACATTGAGTTACTAGTTTACCTAATGCACTTATTCTTGTCAGTCTGACTTTATAAAATAGTAAAGCCTGCACATTTTTAAAAATCTATAAAGTTGTTGATAATAATTTATTAACATTCAATATTCCAATACCAATCCCACTGCAATTACACTCTCCCACCACCATTATTTAAATTTTCCCACCCCAACCCAAACTTTCCCCCCAAAGCAGGTCCTAAATAATTAAGACCATATTTTAGCAACATAATTAAGATAGCAGAAGATTTTAGACTTTATTTTGGGGGTATTGGGCCATACCCAGTGGTCCTCAGGGGTCACTCTTGATTGAGTTTGGGGAATCATGTGTGATGGGACTTGAATCAGGATTGGCTGCATGCAAGGCAAGAGCCTTAAATCTTGTCCTACCTCTCTACATTTTAACCAGTTTTATTTATCCCTGCGGACAAGCAGATAATTTTCATAGTTAAGAGATCAAAAGATTTAAATGGAAAGAGTGAAGAATATTCCCTATGTTTTCCATCTACTATTTGATACCTCTGCATTTTGCTCTCCTTTCATGCTTAGGTAAGCCAATACATTATTCGCTGACATCTCCCTGCTCCTTTTCCTTAACAACAACAAAATCACCTCCGTCATCAAAACAGCTTATTCTTTTGTTGTTTTTGTCGTCATTAACAAAGTGATTAAATGGATGGAAGTTCATCATTTAGTTAGTATCCTGGTGATGGATATTTAGATTCTTCTCAAAAGAAAAAAAAACTTTTAAAGCCAGTTTTCATGTGCAGAAGTAAATCTGTGAGAGAAATTCCTAGAAGTTAAATTGGAGGGTCAGAGTACTTACATGCATTTGTAATTTTGAAAAATACTGCCAAATTCCTGTTTCTCTACAGCCCAGCCAAAGCAATGATGCCAGCTATAATCTTATGCCTTTTTCATTTAGCAATACACAATGAAAAGTGGGTTACCTATTAAAGAAGTAGGAAAAAAAGCAGGCCACATTTATTCAGCAATGCAGAGTCCGTTTTCACTCAGAAATATATTCAAAGGAACTGTGTACCTACTGCACATCAGGTGATATTAGGCATAATGGAAGAAAAATCTAACTTAAATCTCTGCCTTTCTGTAGAGCTTACATTTGAAATCTACATTTTGGAACTCTATGCTCCTCACAAGAAGTCAGTTAAATGTCAATATCATGAAAATGATCTGTTGAGATCCTGAGCCTAGGCGCCAGACATATGCTACCAGTGTTATTTAAAAACCAACTAGAGGCAATGTTGCATCTGATTTCATGGCTCTCCATCAGGTCCTTCTAAAACAACACACTTGGGCGAGAGCTCTTTTTATCTGACTCCATCTGCTGTTGGTAGTGATCAGCATACTGTGGGCATTGTGGTATCATTTGAGATTAAGTTGTGAAATAGGAAGTGGAGTTACAGGCAGATCCGCAAGTATATGCAAACGGTTTAGTTCTCTCTCTTGCTGAAACTGAGGGTACCCAATTCAGGTTTGGGGAGTAAGGATGACAAACTTATCAGCACATTGCCATCAGGACAGTTTTTTGTCCTTCTGTCTTTTGATTTAGAAAGAGGTCACTAGTGATTCTATGGAAAAGAGTTTCAGAGGCATATAGCAATACCCTGCATGCTAAACAAAGGCATGGGAAAGAAAACATGCAAGAATTGATACAAGACACCACCCATGGAAAGGAAAGGGTATTGGCAAGTGCAATGGTAGACATGGTCTGGTCTCATATGTATTTTAAGTCTCCTCCCTTTATAAAAGGAGGCTATCCTAAAACCTTAGTCTTTGTTAGGCTTAATTTTATAGGATGGTGGCAAGCTACAGCTGTTCAAGCTTTTGCAATCTTGAATGTTCATTTGGGAGATCAGCTTGTATGTCAGACACACAGAACCTTCAAGTATGAGGTGAAGGTCAGAAGGAGCCAATTCCAAAGAGTTCCTCATGACTCTTTTCTCTTGGTATTAAAATTTCTGTGAACATAACTTAGTGGTACAACACTTGTCTTGCATGTGTGAAGTCCTGAGTTTGAGCCCCTGAATTTGTTTTTCTTTTTTCTTTGCTTTTTTTGGGTTGCACCTGGCAATGCTCAGGGGCTATTCTGGCTCTGCATTCAGGAATTACTCCTGGCAATGCTTGGGAGACCATAAGGTATGACAGGAATGGAGCCCAGGTTGGTGGTGTGCAAGGCAAATGCCCTATCCATTATACTATCACACCAGTCCCTCCCCTGAATTTCAACAACAGCCCAAACAAACCTGTAATAGGTGAATGGTGGAACATAATCAAAACCAAAGATCTGCTACTGCATGAATGGAGATTCCTTTTTCTTTTTACAGTGCCTGGGATCAAACCCAGGGCCTCATTCATGCAAGGCTCTGCTACATTCCCTGCCCTGTCTGCCTGGGTGGTTTCTTAAGTTCTAATACTCATCTATTATTTTCCCCTCAAGTCCTTTAACTTTTTGTGCTAGGAATCCTTGATTATAGCAACACTTTGTTTATTTGTTTGGGGACCACAGCCAGCACTGCTCAGAGTTTACTCCTGGCTCTGTGCTCAGGGATCACTCCTGGAAGGCTCCGTGGACAATACGAGATGGCAGGGATTGAACCTGGATGGGCTGCATGCTATACTATCTCTCTGGTCCAGCAACACATCCTTTTACAGTTAAGTTGGAGAAGTGGTAAGTGCCCAAGGCAGAAACCAATTCTCTCTCTCTCTCTCTCTCTCTCTCTCTCTCTCTCTCTCTCTCTCTCTCTCTCTCTCCTCCCACCCCCCACCCCCCGTCTGTCTGTCTCAGTCATCCAGTCCAGCAGAACTTTCTCTGTCACAGGATCATCACGGAAAACCTTTAAAGCCCCTGACTTCTGGTTTCTGGGCTGCCATACTGCAAACGCTGCAAACTGGGGTGATAGGGCCATGCACAATTTGTCATACGGCAAACGCTGCAATCTGTGTGACTGGGCCATGCACCCACGGGGCTGGCACACAGCGGACGCGCCGGACCCCCTGGACCGGTGGTCTTGGTGCTCTGGAGTCTCCTGTCAGTGTAGCTGGCGGCCCCAGCGCAGGGTACCCTAGCAGGTCCAGCATGCTGGAAAAAAAAAAGTCTCATGGACCCAGCAATGGACTCAGCGTCTTAGGAGAGTGGCATTTCGTCCCGGGGGGGCCAGCAAATGGCACTTTCTCCGAGTCTCCCTGAGGGATTTCAGAACTGTCAACCACTAAGCGATTTCCCTCCGCCCCCGCAGCATCCCCCAGAGGGCCGAGCCAGGGCAAGGGGCAGGGCCCATGGCCCGGCGCTCCGGCCCAGCGCTTCATTCCTGCCACCCTCGAGCTCGGTGCACGTCCGGGTCGTCCAGCCCCTCGAGTGTTTCCCGCCCCCACGTTTCCCTCTTAGTTTCCAGCGCGCGTGCAGCCCCTCCACCCCGCCCCCGGCCCGCCTCCGGGGCTCCGACTCCCGCATCCGCCAGGGCCGATTCAGCCCGAGCCCGCCGCGCCGTCACGTGAGCCTCCCGCCCCGCCCCCGCGGTCACGTGAGCGACCGACCGCCCCGCCCCCGCGCCGGCGCGCTCCGACGTGCCCTGCAACTTACCCTCCCTGGGAGAGCAGCCTGCGGGGACGGGCGGCTGCGGCCGCGGCCGGGGGAGCGCCCTTTGCAGGCGAGCGGGGCTCGGGCGAGGTGGCCTCGGCGTCGTGGCGGAGTGCCCGCGGAGCGGGGTGCAGGTGGGTGAGGCGCTGCACAAAGGCGCCGCCGGGCCGGGGCTGTGCCCGCCGAGGGCGCCGGAGTTGGGGAGGAGACGCGGGGGGTGTGTGGGGGGGGGGGGAGAGGGAAAGGCGGGTGTGTGTGCGGGAGGGGGGACCCCCGGAGCGGCGCCCGAAGCGGGCCGGGGGTGGCGGCGGCGGTGGGCGCGGGACCCCGGGGCCAGCTGCCAGCCTGCCGGCGGGCGTGGGCGAGCGGGTTTAAAGGGCTGGAAGTTGCAGGTCGCCTGCCCCCCGGGTTTGCTGACTTCCTGTGCCCGGGCACTGCCCTCCCGCCCCGCCCCCAGGAAGCGGGGTGTCGGGGTGCGTGTGTAGAGCCGGCGGCGGCCGCTTCCCTCGCTCCCTTTCCGCGGGCAGGGGGTGCGAGCCGCCGCCTCCCCGGGAAGCCCACCTGCCCTCCCCCCGCCCCCCGCTTCCCCGGCCCTCGAGCACGGTGGACCAGAAAGTGGCCTCTCGGGTATCTGCAGCCAGTAGAGGTGCCCCGCCCCTGCCCAACGCACACTTGCTACTCCCCGGCCGCTTGCCGGAATCTCCTTAAAGTCCTTGAATTAAAAAAAAAAAATCCAACGAAACCTTCGTGCAAGCGTGCAGCCCTTTTCCACCCTCTCGCGGGGTGGGGGGTGGGCGGGGGGCAATTCCCCGTCTTCCACGAAAGACTGGCCTCGGAAGAGGGGTGGTTTGAATCACTGCAGACCCTCAGAAGACCTGGCCACATTGTGATCCGGAGAGAAAAAGAGCTTGGGGCCTTGGCTTTTCCAGAGGCGGGTGCAGGCGCTCCCCGCCCTACCCCCCCCCGCAGCTGCTGCTTTAAATACACTTGCAAAGGCTCCAGCAAACTGCTTGGGGCAGATCTTTCAGAAACTTCTTGGGGCGCCGAGGGAAGTGTGTGGGTGCCAGGTAAAGGCCCTCGCACACTCCCATAGCACCGGGTGGCTTGATGATCAGTGACTAGTGAAGCTTGATCTTACTGACTCCGCACTTAACTTGAAGGGTAGTGAAAGCGACTTGGAGGGAGTCCTTTCCCTTTCTGCTTTAGATTTTGCAACCCCTCCCCACCCCCTCGAAAGGGGGGGCCTTGGAAGACTGCACTCAGGAAAGGTGGTTTGAAAGGATCCCGCCCCTAGCAGGAGGGCCCTTGCATGCAAGTTGGCCAGCAGTGACCCTGGAGAAATGTTTGTTTGTTGGTCGCCACTGTTCCTTACCTGGTCTCCATGGAGGGTCATCCCTCTAAACCTCCTCCGGTCAGAGAAGGTACCAGTATTTTTCTCTTTGTTTTCCAAAATGTCTGGGGTACATTTTAGAGCAAGAGATGTTGGCAGCCGGGCGATGCTGCCAAGACTTGACCCAGGGCTAAGGACCCGGAGCAGACGAGCCGGGCAGTGGTTGCTTGTGGTTCCTCTGCCGTGGTTGCTTGTGGTTCCTCTGCTCTGCGAGTGTTGTTCTGGGTGGAAAAGGAAATTGAATCTGGGACTGTAATGTAACCGTGTGTGTGTTTGTGTGTGTGTGTGTGTCGCCTCCAGACTGGTCGACTGATTTCTCTTTCTGCTTTATCAATGTATAGATGTTGGAGAAATTGCTAATTCTAATGCTGTGATTCATTCTGTAATGGCATCTGAAGAGTTCTGGTCGCTACTTTTGTATCTTTAGATTTTGTAACAGTATACTAGTTGTGGGGTTTAGTGAAAACTTTAATGTAAAAAAACTGCTTCTTTGTGGTTATTTGGCTTTTTCATGAATTAGAAAGTATCAGTTGAGTGCCTTTTTTCAAACAGGTGATAGAGATGGACTTTAAAAAATCTAATTTTATTTTTACACTTTGTGTAAAAATTTTACTGGGGCAGTGCTGGGAGCCACTCCCCAGGGTGCCAGTATAGAACTGGGGGCCCCCTGCACTCAAGGGCCTTAGCCACTGTGCATTCTCCTTGACTTGGGCTTTACAAATTTAAGTATGTTACAATGTAGTTGACTTTTCCGAGAATAAAAAGGGTGATAACAGTCTTATGTTGACTAAAAGTAGTGTATATGGGAATGTGTAGCGTTGTAAATACTGGCGAGTCTGCCTAGAACAGCAATCTTGTTTTGTTTTTTCGCTTGAGGTGGGGTGGGCCACACCCGGCAGCATTCCGGGGTCACTCCTGCTTTTGTGGGGTTGGGGAAACCGCAAGTCCTGCCTGGAATTGAACCCAGGTTGGCTGTGTGCAAGGCAAAGCGCTTTTACCCCTGTATATACCTATGATTTCCCTGACCCTGAAATAGGAGCTTTTATAATAGAGAAAAAGGAAACACAATTTGTTTTCTGCAGGTATGCCAGAATTTTAGGTACAGTTTCAATTTTTAGTTACGGGGCCTTGGAGAATGAACCAGATGTGAAAGGTTCATGATAGCATCCAGTTGTGCTTCAAATAGTGCTTTTCAAATCACCGTCTTTTGAGGAACCCATTGAGCCACTTCTTTGTGGTTTTGCTTTTCTTCAGTTGTTAACTGGTCTAATTGGGCCACATCCTCCTTTGTGGATGGCTTTGCTGTGGTTCAGACATTTTCCCAATTCTTTTTACTGATTTATCGCAATGTAGTTCCTGTTTGCAGTCATTCGCTTTTTCTCTGAACTGGACCGGCATTTGTTTCTAAGCACACCTCCCTTGTTGCAGATCAGTTGTCTCAAACTTGAGTGTGCCTGGGAACCACCTGAGTGGCTAACAAGCTCCCAGGTGATAGTGGACTGCACTTCCGCCCTGACCTCAGACCACAGCTGTGCAATAGAAAGAAGCTTGCTACTTCTACCTACCTGTGTATCCCAAGAATTTTAGTACTCAAAAGGTGAACGCCCAAGTGAAGAAAATAAAGTGTATTGTTTTGTCATGTAATCAATATGATATTATTATTCTGTGTGGGGGACTGTGATAATTGGGACTTGGGGACACTCCTTGGTGATACAGAGGCCTGTTGGTTTGGAGCTCTGGTTCAGAGGTCCTGGGGAAACCAGGACAAATTTATGGGTGTGGGGGGTGTATGAGGGACGTGACTTGGATCTTTGCACTTGTAAGGTATCACACCCTTAGAGCTAGCTCCATGACCACTTAATTAAAAGAAAATTATTGCAGGGATAGGGGTTGAGCCACAGATGGTGGTGCTGGGGTCGCTTCTGGAGGTGCATGGGGAACCATGTGATGCTGAGAATTGAACCAGAGTCAGGTGCATGCTAGGCAGGCACCTTACCCTCTGGACTATCTCTCCTGGCCCTAAATTGTTTGTTTTTTGTTCTGCGATCACACCCAGTGATGTCCAGGAGTTATTCCTGGCTCTGCACTCAAGAATTATTCCTGGTGGTACTCGGAGTTCATATGGGATACTGGTGATCAAACCCGGGTTGGTTACATGAAAGGCAAACATCCTACTTTCCGGCCTATCTTTCTGGCCCCTCAGTTATTTTCTTATAGGGGCCACATCTGTTGGTAGCGGTGGGGTGTTGGAGACCCTCTCACAGACCCAAATAGGCTTGGTGCTCTGTAATGTTGGGGGTGGGGATGTGGGCATCAGGACCACACATTGTGCTCTGAGGGACCTCTAGGGCTATCCCAGGTATGGGGTAGGGTCTGAAGAACTTGGGTACAGGAAGTCAAAATCAGGTCAGGGTCTCAAACAATCTGGAAATGCCATTTACTTCTTGAGCTATCTCCCTATTCGCTCAGAAAGGTTTATTTCTTTGTGACTGTGCCAGCAGTGCTCAGGGATTACTTTTTTTTCTTTTTGGATTTTGGGCTTCACTCAGTGGGGACCATAAGGAATGCCAGGGATTCATCCCAGGTCAGCCTTGTGCAGGGCAAGCACCCTGCTTTCTATTTTAGAGTTAAAAAACAAAAAACCTCAAAACCTCAAAACTCAACTTTTAAAAGAGCTAGCCAAGTGATTTCATTCCTCCCTGAAAATTTGAGAAGTAGTAATCTATAACTCTCTACTGGGTGGACCTTGGGTGCTCAGGCTGAATGGTGGTTAGTATCAGAGTTGGTGCATCAGAATAGTGTCTTTGTAAGAAGAGCTAAGACATATAGAGGACTTGCTGTGTTTTAGGCAGCACATCAAGTGCTTTATAAATAGTTACACATTTGATTTTCCCAATATATGTTGTGTATATGTAATATATACATAATTGATATATATAATTGATTAGATCTGTTTTATAAGCAGGGAGAAAAAAATCCCCTGAGATTCAGAGGTTAGGTAATTTGTCTTAGGTCACACACAGCTAGCAAGAGGTAAAATCTGAAGCATCTGAGGATTTAATATTTTTTGTCTGGGGGCCAAACCTGGTGGTGTACAGGGGCTACTCTCTACTCTGCTGGGTAGTCAGTCCCCAGAGGGTTTTGGGGGTGCAGGGACTCAAACCCAATCTTTTACATGATGTCATGCTGGCTAGCCTTTTGACTGTTCCCCCAGTCCAAGGAGGGGCTGATTTTATGGGGGTCAGTTGGAGTGTTTTTCTCTTCTCAGATTTGTTGCTTTTTTGAGTAAGCAGTGATTAGTGTGGAAACTCTGTATCCAGCCTTGTGATTTACAAAGCACTTTTTCTTTATTCTCTCAAGGATCTTTTGAGGTTTGTATTACTCCCTTTGTTCTACAGATAAGTGAAAGTTCTGAGGGTCTGAGAACTGATACATGGCAAATCCTAGATTTCAGTTCCCCACCTCTAACTCTCAAGTCCTGTGCTGTTTTCCTTTACCTTGTGCTCTTCACCAAAGAAAAATTTAGAATATAATTATTTCCCCCAGTTTTTATTGGTTTTGGGACCACACATGGCAGTTCACTGACCTATCTGTTTGGCTCTGAATCTGGAATTTTTTGTTATTATTTTTTATTTTACTTTTTGGGGCTGGAGTGATAGCACAGCGGTAGGGCGTTTGCCTTGCACGCAGCCAACATGGCTGACCCGAGTTCGATTCCTCCGCCCCTCTCGGAGAGCCCGGCAA